TTCTATGACTGGACTTCAAGCTTAAAAACTCGAATAAATCCCACGGGCACTGTTTTGCTTCGGCTACAGGACAGATTATATCATAAAGTTTAAATGTATGTTTTGCCAAAGTGACTACCCTACTTCCTGTCTTCCTCTTCATTTCTACTTCAAAAGCTCTTATTTCCTTAAATAAAATTGCCCAGTTGGAACTTTTTAAAAACTACTTGTAAAAGCATTAAAAGTGAACAGGCTGGAGAAAAGCTTTTAAAACTAATGTACTACAAAGAAATACTGTCATTTGTTGAGTAATTCTATGTCAGTTAGTGTCACGCACTTAAAGTGTTTATTATTCATTTTAATCCTCACAACAGTCCTGAAGGTGTTTATCCATTAAAAATCACAGCCAAGATTTAAACCTAAGCTGTTCATCACTATATTCCTACCTGAGGTGCTGGGATGGCTCCACTCTTAGGTCAAAGAGAAAATGAAATCATCCTCCTTAAACGAACTGTTTGATCTTATGGGGGCCCTCCTGTGAGGAGGCAGAGGATCTTCAAAATGTGTTACTCTAGGCATGGATAATTTCAAGGCAATTTCTAAACATTCTAGTTCCCTATTTTCCTGCATTTGGCTTGTCTGAGAATAAACCCAGTCCAGGCACGCTACCACCTCCCTTACTGTTACTACCCCACATGAACATAAAAGTATGTACCTTAGCCCTCCTGAATTTGCACACAGCACCAAAAGCCCCACTGAAAACAGAAAGTGCATGTGAGAACAATTTTACCTATGATTACCAACTTTCACAAAAACCGAATACTCAGCTGATAAAGGTAGGAAAAATGTTAAACCCAGACTTGCTCATCCATAGCTATATAAACTCATTTGGAAGGAAACTGCTCTGTAGCATGTTTGTGCCATACAGTTTTGCTGCTGAAATACAAAGAGTGAAATACTAAAGTGCAGGAGGAAGTATAATTCACTGTAAATATTTTACTGACTTGCTACTATCCTGAAACGAATCTCTACTTATGTGGCATGATAACCAGTATTTTTTTTGTTTTTGTAGTACTGTGACTGAACTCAGGGCTTCAAGAACTCTAACCACTTGCCATTCTCCCAGTCCTGCTTTTAGTTTTGCAGACAGGGCCTCCCAATCTTCCTGTCTCCACCTCCCAAGTAGCTGGCACCAAGGTTTGCACCACCATGCCCAGCCTGTTTTTGAGATAGGGTCTGGCTAACATTTACCATGGCTGGCCTAGAACAGTGAGGTAGCCACCTTCCTATCTCCACCTCCCAAGTAAGTAGCTGGGATTATATGAGTGGACCACCATGCCCTGTTAACTAATGGGATTCCATGAAGGCCCAAATGATTACAGCCAAATTAGGTAATCACATTTAATGTGAACTGAAACATTCAGATTCTATCGAAAAGTAATACTTGTAAGAACCAAACCCCTCAAATTTCCTTAAGGGGAATTTTATTTATGTCTGTAGTTTATTCCCTCCCCAAGGACTAAAACCAAATAAAGTGAAATTGACCTCATGATTTTATTTTCTTCATAAAAAAACAAAAAATGGAGCTTAGAACTGGATCACTTGTCCCTGTAAAAAAACAAATAAAAAAGTTAAGTTTGTATTCTGTAAAGAACCATCACTCCATCAAGAATATTTTCTAAGAAGATTACCCTGCTATGGTAAGGCAAGTCTCATTGTTCCTCTCCTACTTACACCAAAAACCTCACAAAACATTTTAGGTATCACATTAGTGTTCAAAGTTTTAGATTTTTTAGACTAAAGACATTCAATCAATAGTTTACACAAAAATTCCCAATCTGAAATACTTCTGGTCCCAAGCATTTCTGATATGGGATACATAAACATCAGCTATGGAGTTATTTTTTGAGGACTGTCCTGACCTCTATGCCACAATAAAATGAGTGGAAATGTTTACCTCTCCATATACAATAAAACTACATAGAAAGAGTGTACCTTTCTCTTCTTGTCTCCTCCCAGTTCAAAATGCTTGCATCTCTTAATAGCCAGCATTCTCTTAGATCTGCAGTTGGGCTCAACACACTCAAGCCTCAGCACTATTTTCTTTGTAGTTTTAGCCTGAAATAAAATAAATTCTTAAACACTGTAGAAAATCATTTCTTAAAAAATGTGACTGTTGGATTAGACAGTACTTAAAACTTTGCAAAATATTAATTTCCGTAATTTATCTTTCGCTATAGGGAGAAAATAATAGTCTTAAATTCAGTGAATTTAAAGGAAAATGTGGTAGCAAAAATGGCAGGTCATTTGTCATCAAGTTCTATTAATTTCCATTCACATTAAATATCTTCAAGAGACTTTCGTCAATTAGGGTTTCTTTTTAATTTCCTTTTTTTTCTTTTTTCATTTTTGTAATTTTTTAAATCCTTTTCAATCAGGGTCTTATCTTGTCATCTTGACCTTGTGGTTTTTCAGCAGATCTGCATAGTTAGGTGGTTCACACAGTCAAAAAGGATCAGCCAAGTTCACACACCTATGAACTTTTGTTAACTCATTCAACAGGACTGCTACTTAACATCAATCAATTCTCCTATTTCTAATTATGCCTAGAATTTATGTACCTTTAACTGGATTATTTAACTCAAGGTGCACTTCCCATTAATACTCAACTTTTTAAGCCTGCCCCCTTTTCCCAGGATTTTGTTTCGAAGCGGGATGTGGTGGTGCACACCTGTAATTCTAACATTCATTCAATGGGGTGAGCAAGTGGGATGACAGTTCCAGGCCAGGGGGACTTCATAGACTGTCTCAAAAAAGCCAAAGCCTAGCCAGAAAGTTACATGAATATGAAAAGGGACTCAAACATTTTTATCACCCTGGTATCAATCATTTACTGCACACAAACAAAATCATTTAATACTCTCTAGGACTAGGATGGATGAGGAACAAAGCAGGAAGAGAAATGCAATGCTGGAGGGAATGCTATATTCCAGGGACGGCGCTATTTAAGAAGTGGCCAAATCTAGAGAACAAGAAAACTATTGGACCTGAGATTTACAAATATAGATAGAATTCCAGAGGCCTAAATGGCTAAAGAGTTTTCAGACTTTATGAGATAGGTAGTTTGAGAAGCCTCATAAATTGTGTGTGTGTGTGAACATTTATCACTGAGGTATACCTTAGCCCCAAATAACAAAGTTACAACCAAGGGCTGAAGATTTATACATGACAAGAGCAAGGCAAATGAAAGGATTTACTGGTGCATGCATTCATGTTTCAGTTCTTACAAAAGGTAGGACACATTCCTTCATTTTTGCCAGAAGGACAAAAAACCTAATTGCTAAGATGATGCACTACTGTAGACTAGAGACATACCTGGGTTGCACTCCCTTGCTCCACTGCCTAGTATCACTGCAGGCAACTGGGATAATTTTGCACAGATTAAAGCCACAGTGATGTGCGTGGCACTAGAGATGACAAATGCAAGATTACAATAAATACTTAACATGTAAATTAGTAATCACCACTAACTTTTTTCCGGAAAATGGGCTTGGTCTGCCCACCATAGCCACTCTGCTTCCTGTCATAACGCCGCTTTCCTGAAAAAAAAAGAAGTTATTTGTTATGGTATGGCAAAGATCATAAATCACAACAGCAACATGGAAAACTCTTGGGCTCCCCTGCATTTTTACTAATGCCTAAGAAGGGAAGTAGCATACACTACTTCAAAAATGCCACATCAAAACCCTTGCTAAATGGAGGGTGAATATGGTCGATATACTTTGAGGGAGAATGATGGAGGGGAGTGAATCAAGATATTATAAGCACATATGTAAATGTTACAATGAAAGCCCCATACAGCTCATACAATCTAATAAAAATGTAAAAAAAAAAAAATTACTGAGCCTGGCCTGGTGGCAGTGCATGTGTGTAATCCCAGCATTTTCGAGGCAAAGGCAGGAGGATCACGAATTCTAGAACAGCACAGACTACATAGTGAGACCATGTTCCCCACCCCACGTTAAAAAAAAAAAAACAATTATGTAGAAGCCATCTTACCCTGGGCATACAGAGAATCCTTGCCCTTCTTGTACTGGGTCACTTTGTGAGGCTGGTGCTTGCCGCACTTTTTACAGAAAGTCCGGCGGGTTTTAGGAACGTTAACCTAGTAAACAAGTAATAGAAAACATGCAGTTATCAGACCACAATGGCACAACCCTCTGACCCAGGTGAAGCTGAGGAATCTACGAAGACCTGATCCTAACTCCTCGCTAACACACGACCCCGTAGTCTGGCCAAAAGATGGTTCAGCCACAGTGCATCAAGCACAGCACTCTGTTGAGCTCCAAGACATAAGAGTTCGTATTAACCTCACCCATGGCTAACTTTATCTCTTTGATTTCACCACTTCAGTTCCTCGCCCCAGAACCAGATTTTTAGGGTCCCTCCCGCCAATATTGGGTTTCTTTGGTACATAGGGGCCACGCAAGAGCCTGGTTCCATCCTGGGAAAGTAACGCCAAAGTGGGGGCAAGGATTAAGCTGGATGTGACTGCAACCCAAGTCCTACCATGATTACGGGAGGGCTATCCGCACCAAAAGAAAGAGGCTAGGCTGGAAACGGAAGTATATAGGAGTTCCAGGTCGCATTTCCTCATGCGAGTCGAAAAGAGCCACTATAGAGTGTAAGGCTCAGTGCGCAGCGCCCTCCGGCGGCTCAGAGGACTCGGCGCAGCCGCGGGCGGGAGAGGCCGAGAGCCGCTGCGCGGGGTGGTCTGTTCTACTGCTCTTCCTCCCGCCCCCCGTCTTACAGCTGGTCACTGCTTCGTCGCCTTTGGCGGACGCCGCTACGCAGTAGCATTAAGTGAAGGAAGCAGTGCTCTTCCCAAATCCTCTTGCCTCCTTGCACCCGAGAGAAGCCGGGACCAGGATCGAGTTGAGGGACCCTGTGTCTCCGTCCCATTCCTGCGCCACCTTCAAGGACACTGGGAACAGCCTTGCAACTGGTTCAAAGGAGGACTGGAGGGAGTGAGTTGCTCCAGTTCGTTTATCCCTTGGTCAGTTGGTCCATTCCAGAAATGTTTGTTGCAAGAGCGAAGCCCTTAGTCAAACCCCAGTCCCACCAGAAAAAAAAAAAAAAGGAAGGAAGAAAGAAATGTTTAATATCTATTCTGTGTCGGTCACTTTTCTAGGGAAAGGACACAATAATCTAATATGCTCATGAAAGTACAACTCATTATGGGCTGAGTACTTTCAACAAAAAGAACAGCACTAAAGCGGCTGCTCTCGGTTCTGAAAAGTGATGACGAACTTGTGCAGCTTTTGCCATAGCAATAATTGGTCCAAGAAAGAGAATGTATCCAACAGCTCTTCCCTTTCCTGTATACTTGACAGCAGACGAATACTAACTGGTTTTCAAGACCGTCCAGCAGGCTGCTGGAGTGACTCAGGCGGTCATGCTTATAATTCCAGCTACTCTAGAGATCGAAAGGATCGTGGTCAGAGGCTGGCCACGGCAAAAGCAAGACCCTATCTGAAAAAAAAAAAAAAGAATAACTAAAGCAAAGAGGGCTAGGGGGCGTTGCTCAGCCTGGTAGAGAACCTGCTTAGCAAGCATTGGGGTCCTGAGTTCAAACTCCATACCCTCAAAAAAAAAAAGACCAGTTCAGGGTTCTGAACTTAAAAATGGATTGTCCCAGGTTGGAGGAGTGGCTCAGGTGGTAGAGCACCTGCCTAGCAAGTGCCAACCCCTGAGTTTAAACCCCAGTACCACCAAAATGGATTGTCTCATACAATTCTCACAGTAATTCTGGGAGGTAGGGTACTATTATTCTCATTACACAGATAAGGAAGTTGTGACCGAGGGATGCTAACTAATTTGCCCAATGTAAACAGTATTTAGTGGATCCAGATACAGACCCAAGTAGTCTGACTCTAGAGCTTGGGTTCCTTTACCATTGTACAACACTGCTGTTAGGGCCTGCTAATTATAATAGCTAACAATTACAGGGCACTTCCATCAGGCATTCCTGGCCACCTTACATGCAACCTCTTTTAATCTCGACAACGTCCCAGGATGCATGTACCATTACTAGTATTTACCAAGTGAGGAAACTGAGGCATAAGAGGCATTGAATTTACTTATTAAGAGTCTGGTGGTTATTTCTGAAGATGGAATGTGATCTTAGGTCCTCTTAGAGCCATAGACTAACCACTATATTTCACAGGGGAAGCAGAGGCATCTGCAGGGTAGAAAACTGGGCTGGGAGGCAGGAGGAGGCTAAAGAACTATGAGAACCTGAAGTATTCTGCTTACAAGATGCTCCAGGAACACCCATGAGTCCTGAACTGACTGATCACCTTCTTTTTTGCTGGATGGTCCCTGGAAATAAGATAATAAAAACATTAGCACTGTCTGCTACATTTCCCGAGTGTCTTTGCCAGCCTCTCGTCCTAAAGCCTCTCTCCATTCTCAAGTAATCTCACTGGCTTTTAGGAAATTTCTAAAGTTTTTTTTAATGTTAGAACGTGAAAATATGAAGACAATGAACATGACCTTGGCTCCAGCACTCCATATGACATGGCTTGGGGTAATTTTTTTGTATGTTTATTTTAAAGTATTTAATTTATAACAATTATACATATTAAAGGTATACAATGTAATGATTTATTATACAAATTCATTGTGTAATGATTACCATAGTCAATAAGTACATTCATTACTACCCACAGTTGCTCCCTTGTGTGAATCTGTGGTGAGACACTTAAATCAGCTCTCTTCTCAAATTGCAAGTAAACAATATAGTATAATGAACATAGTCATCACACTGTACGTTAGATCCCCAGAACTTACTTAGTTCAAAATGTGTGTACCGTCCTAGTCTCTATTTTAAACGTGCCCCTGCTCATTAATTTCCCCTAAAGTGAGCACTCACAACTTACCAACATGGCTTAGGTGTGGCCTAGCCTTGCAGAGTATACAGCACATTCTCTTTCCTCTGTCTAGATATTTTGCTTCTACAAGAAAGCCTAATATCACCTTAGCTTTTTTGTTAACCATGTTACTGACACGACACTTCTTTTCATTACTATCAGGAAAACCCTCTGAACCAATTTTGCAAATGCAACTGCTACCCCACTTTTACCTGGAGTCATTTGAAATTCAAGATTGGGTTCAATTATGTACATCACCCTTAGTTAGCCCTGGTAAAATATTACTATTGAATTTGGCTTCTCACACCAGATGATCAGGATCTTTTTTGGACACTTTTCTGTCATCCAGGGTAGCACACACACCCTTTTACCATTCACAAGTTAGCTAAGCCATTTTCTCTATCTTCCCCAAAGGTCATTAATTGGAATTCTGAACAGACAACACCAAGAGCAGAACCTCACAGTACCTTGGGGATGTTTTGAAATGATGCTAGGCCACTCATTTGCACTATTTGGGTACAGTCCTATTCCTGGACAAATGTGCTAAGGGAGCGATCATGAGCAGCGAGTGAAGAAGAGCCCAGGTTCACTTTGTCCAATCCCTGTTTTTTCCCATCATGTCCCTATCAAATTCCCAGTCCCCATCCCAAAATGGACCTTAAGAAGGTGCGAGGCATGTGACTGAAGAAAAGGGGAGGGAAAGTGAATGTCGGAGGCCAAGTCTCAGGCAGTGACTGGAACAGCTATTGCAGATGACTAGTGAAAGAATATAACTTGTCAATAAAGCAGGGGCATCCACACAATACCTGCTGCCCATCTGTCTTGTGCTGATATGAGAATTAATCACTCTACCTCCTACGAATGCTTAAAAAAAACAAACTCCTCTTGCCTTAAAAATTCTGACAGACTCACAGAATCTGTGGTCTATTTCTATATGGGAGTGCCCGTGAATAAGGTGGGCAAGGAAATCAGTCACCAGGGGCTCTGCCACCATCACGGTTTACAGCCCATACTGGCTGCATTTTCTCAGAGACTCCTCGGTGGTGGAGGGGAGGGAACTGATTGCAGCTGGATCATAGGCTAGGAGGTTGCTGAGGAAACATTGAGGCTTCAAATAACATACCTAGTCTGGTTTACTGCTTTACAGGATTAAAGAGAAAAAGTGTGGCTGGTGGAGTGGCTCAAGTGGTAAAAGCACCTGCCTACCTACTCAGGAGGATCAAGGTTCAAAGCCAGCCCAGGCAAATAGTCCATGGGACCCTATCTTGAAAAAAACCCATCACAAAAATGGACTGGTGGAATGGCTCAAGGTGTAGGCCCTGAGTTCAAGCCCCAGTACCACAAAAAAAAGGTGTAGGCCCTTAGTTAAACTGCAGTACTGCAATAAATAAATAAATAGCTTAAAGAGAAAAGGTATAAATTTTTCATTTCTGAAAACAGTTTTTTTTGTGTGTGGCTGTATTGGGGTTTGACTTTAGGGCCTCGTGCTTGCTAGACAGGCACTCTACCACTTGAGCCATGCCCCCAGCCATTTTTTTGCTTTAGGTTTTTTCCCTCATAAGGTCTCATGTTTTTGCCCCAGGCTCAGCCTCAGCCCTCAATCCTCCTACCTAAGCCCCCTGAACAGCTAGGATACAGGAGTGTGCCACCACACCTGGACATTTTTTTGAGGCAATGTCTAGATTTGTAGCCCACACTGGCCTTGAACTCATGATCCACCTGTCTCAGTGTCTTGAGTGCTTGGATTACAGGTGTGAGCCACCAAGCTTGGCTCCTCAAACTGAATTTTAAATGGAGAAAATCAACATTCACAGAAAATGGGGAAGGGCACAAGTCCGTTCTTGTGTGGGCTTAAATTTTGGCATTTTATCTTTAGAAAAAAACACTTTCTTAGAAAGTGACTCAGCAGGGGAAGTCTTGTCTCTACCTCTGGCTGGCTGTGTACATTGGGGTCCCTGTGTGAGCACCCTCCATCCTTCAAGTTTAGCTGTGTGATCCTGGGTCTCCTCTGCCTTAAAAGACAGAAGATTCTAAAGATACTCCTCTTGGGCAGTCCCTTTGTTCTGTCTCCACCACCTTGAGCATCTTTCCTCTTTCCTGTAAGTCTGGTCTTACTGCGCTGGCCATCTTCACAATCCGTTAGGTATGTTTTCCCTTTACCTTGGGGAGGGTGGACTCCCAATCTGTCTGCTCAACCTAACCCCATCTAGAGTCTCAGTGACCCCAGTAATGTTGAGAAAAGTTCTTTCAGAGCTGGACTCAAGATAGTAATATCAGAGGTTCCAAGCAAATGAAGGGCGGAGACACTTGGTGGGGGGCAGCGGATAGGGACAGCAGCAGGGAACCAGATACCATGTTGCTGAGAAGAAAAAAAAAGACATTGGTTTAAGTCAGGAAACAAAAAAAGGGAACTGAGTGACTGTGAAAGGGTGGGGTTTGCTCAGACTGTCCTTCCTCTCTGGACTGTAAGAATATGTCTCCAGGTCCAGTGTCTTCGGAGACAGAGTCCCACCTTCCAAGTTCTGGCATCTCAATGCATCTGGGAAGCTACTTGCATTAATTCAGGACCAAGGTGGGTCTGGGGCATGGCAGGGACTGGGCAACAGAAGCAAGTACTTTTCTTGGGACCCCTAAAAGCCAGAGAGAAAGCATGGCTGATGCCACATATCTGCTGACGGAGGGCGGGAGTGTTATCAGCACAAGACCCTTGGCAGT